GCTGCCGACGGCGAGGTATGTCGATTCCGCGAGCGATCGATCGAGGATTTTCTTGCGCTGATCGCCGAAATCTTGCGTTGTAGGCCTCGCATTCCGTGGTTCTCTACGTCTACGACCTGAGCCAGGGCCTGGCGCGGCAGCTCTCGACTTCGCTGCTCGGGGCAGCGATCGAGGGCATCTGGTATGTCACGGGCAAATTTCCCTCTTTAGCTCAAAGATCCCCAGTAACTTCCAAGCTTATAGTTCCAAGTTTTTCTTCACAGGCACACTTCGGTGGTGGTCTATGGCACCGAGTACTACTACAGCGGTGGAATCACGACCAGCAATCCGGGGCGCACGCCCTACGGCCGTCCCGTGAACACGGTCGAGCTTGGAAGAACTCAAGTGCCAAAGGAGGTGTTTGCGGATTACCTCAGGGAGATCAGTCCCCGCTACACGGTCCAGACTTACAGCATCCTGTCGCACAACTGCAACAACTTTAGCAACGAGGTGGCGCAGTTTTTGCTCGGAGTGGACATCCCGGACTACATTTTGCGGCTGCCTCAAGACGTGATCACCACTCCCATGGGATACTTGCTCCGTGAGTGCCAATTTTTTTTTTGCTTTTGTGGATCTTTTTCTTCACTGACTGTTTGATTCTCTCAGAGCCGATGATCCAGCAAATGGAGACCACCCTGAGATATGGAGGAGTCCCGCAAGTGCCTGAACTAGCAGAGGCGACGGGGACGCCACAGCGTGTAGCGATGGCCAGACGTGCCAAGGAAGAGTGCCTCACCACCACCATACCCGAAGACGAGGATCTAGAGCTCCAGAGGATGCGCTCTTCGCGAGCAGTCAAGACGGCTAAGGTGGCTTCTCGCGGCGATGAGGGAGGAGCTGGACGGAAGAAAGCCGCCGCCACCAAGATGGAGGACGCGAGAGCCAAAGTCCAGGAGGAGATCACTCGCGAGTTTACTGCGCTCATGGCCGCGGGAGGGCTGCGAGCCAGCGAGGCGGCGGCTCTTGCCGCGCGGAGAGTGATGGAAAGGCACGGCATTGGTGGCAGTGGCACGGCGACGCAGTCGTGATAGATACGACGTACGAGAAATTCTTTTGGGTGTGAGCGATTCTTCTACACCCCCATTGATCACACAGTTCCTTGATCGATAACAACGACGATGATATGTTTCAATCAATATTGGGTTTTGCCGTGATTGTGGATGTAGTTTGAAACACGTGTTAAAGACTGGATCTCTGGATCGTATAGTCGACTTTGAATCTGATTTTTCCCATCGGACAAGGGAAAAATCAAAGTTGCAAAGTAAAGTTGCTATCATACAGGGTTATCACTCCATTAACTTTGTAAGCAGGTGTCAAGCAAGCGTAGTTCATACGTTCTTGCTCTGGAACTTCAGCTATTTGAGAGGTCTAGCTGAAAGAATTGAGCGGTTTGTGATATCTTCTTGCTCTTTAGGTCCAAGGAAATGTGGTCGACAGATTATCTCCTTCTCCTTCTCACAGTTGGCTTCCTCGCAAAGATTTACGTCTCAGCCCAACCAGGTCAGTAGTATTGCATAAGGGTCAATCTGAAGATTGTTTTTGCAGGATTTCTGAGCCTTGACTGTGGAGCTTATGACACTCACAGGGATGAATATGGTATCGAATGGACGCCGGATGACAAGTATATCACCACTGGAATTAAAGCCTCCATTTCAAGTTCGGAAAAAAATGGGACAGGTTTAGCTTCGCAGCGTCTTCGCTTCTTCAACGACACCTCTCGGAAGCACTGCTATGCTCTGCCAGTGGTGGTAAACGATAGCTACATCGTGAGGCCATGGTTCTACTACGGAAACTATGATGGGATGGAATCAGCTTACACAGAGTTCAACATCATAATTGATGCAAACGATGTGGCAAACTTCAGCATGGATTTAACCAAAAGAATAGCTTACTATCACGAGTTTGTGATTAAAGCCAAAAGCTCGACCCTGGATCTATGCTTTGGAACCGGCTCAAATTCACCGGCAAATATCCCCTTCATCTCCGCAATCGAGCTCAGAAGGCTGGATCCCGGTATGAGAATAAGTTCTTTCAATTCTAGTGAGCTTTTGATCACTTGGAGAAGGATCAATTTTGGAGCAGCTATAAATAATCCCATTTGGTAAGAAATTCTTCAGAAGGTAAAAGTTCTTTTTGACTCGTATCAAACAGGTACCCTTCTGATGACTATGATCGATTATGGTTAGCTGATAAAAATTTCCCAGACATCATGGGAGGATACCAACAGATTAATACTACCTCAAATGTTTCGGTGGGAAAAACATTTGACAAGCCTCCCACAGCCGTGATGAGTTCCGCCATCACCTCCCATTCCACGATGGTTTTCCAGTTCCCACAGCTTCCCACAACGCCGACTGAATTCTACGTTAGCTTTTACTTTGCTGAGTTTGCCGCCCTGGTGAACAACACGAGGGAGTTCCAAGTCCGTTTTAACACAAGCTTGCTTGAATCTCCCCAGCTTTTGGCAACCATCAACGTTGAGAAGTCTGTACAGGCTCCTCTAACGTCATTGCAGATGTATTACAACTCTCGAGTGGAACTTTCTGAACCAACAAACTTCTTGTTTGTGCCCACGGTGAACTCTACGCTTGGTCCGATTCTCAATGCTGCTGAGCTGTGGGAGTACAAAGGAGGTCTCCTCCCAGGGACGGAAACCAACGATGGTAAAGCATATAAATTTAAATAATTGTGATCTCGTTAACATTGTCATAAACAATGCAGTGGCAGCTGTACTTGATGTGATGAAAGATTTTCACATGACTGAATGGTCAGGAGACCCTTGCTTGCCTGATGCTTACACTTGGAAATGGATTACTTGCGATGTAGCTCAAATCCCAGCAAGAATTATAGAGCTGTAATAAGTGGACGCATTTCTAGCGTGATCACATTAACATCTGTGCATGACAGGAACTTGTCTAGCAGTGGACTCAAAGGAACCATATCACTGTCCATCACAAAGCTATCGCATCTAACAAAAATGTATGTATGGGTCTTTTGACGTAATTTTTCGTTCTTCTGATCTTTATGTCTTCAGCTATCTGGATAATAACGCATTGACAGGGCATGTTCCAGATTTTAGCTCCTTGAAAAACCTCACGGTTTTGTGAGTACCACCATTCAGTATGCTAGATGATAGAATTTTACTAATTCTTTTGCAGGTCATTAGAAAACAACAGTTTGGATTGCCTACCACCAGAACATGTACACTTCTCTTACAAGTCAGTTTTTCTCTATTGCCATTGAATTGTTTATCACCTATATGTTTTTTCAGCGCTACTTTTAGCTTGTGTGAGAAGAAACATACAACACTTATATTTGAAGTAGTGGTACCATGTGCAGCCATATTGTTACTTGGAGCTGGACTTGTGGTTTGTTTCTTCTCCCGTAGAAAAACTTCGAAATCCATCACAGTACAGAACAGGAATCCAAGTAAGTTCCAAAAGGTGGCCTTGTGGGTAATTCATTTTTCTAATGGCATATTGTTCCATCCAGGCTTGTCTCTAAAATCTCCAAACTCTAGCACTAAAATGATTGCTTACAAGGATGTGATTGAGGCCACAAGCAACTTCAAGAGAGTCATTGGTGAAGGAAGTTTTGGACCCGTGTACTATGGCTGCCTTCCAAATGGTGTTGAAGTTGCAGTCAAGGTTTTATCCAGTAACTCAAAGCAAGGATATCAAGAATTTCAAACTGAGGTGAGTTTGATCATCAACAGGTACAAATCTATCTAATTTTCCTTGATAGATTGATATTTTATCAGTTGTACACCACAAGAACTTAGTGCCCTTTCTTGGTTACTGTACTCAAAAGTCCAAGCTCATACTGGTCTACGAGTTCTTGTCAAATGGAACGTTGAGGGAGCACTTGTATGGTGGTAAGAATTTTTTGTGTTGAAACGTCCTCCTTTAATGTAATGTCAGAAGGTAAAAGATATCCAACTCTAAGCTGGAAAACTCGGCTTGGAATAGCTCTAGATGCTGCTCAAGGTAAGCTAAATCTCTGAATTGATATGATATAACTCTCTCTCATAGGATTGGAGTATTTGCACACATCTTGCAATCTACACATAATCCATCGAGACGTCAAAACAAGCAATATACTTTTAAGTTTTGATATGGTTGCAAAAGTCAGTGACTTCGGTCTCTCCAAGTTTTATGACAGTAACAAAGCATCTCATGTCTCAACTGGCATCAAAGGAACTCCAGGATATCTTGATCCAGAGTGAGCAAAAGTTTTTTTTCTCAATAAGCATGATATTTTACTGAATTTAATGGTTTTACAGGTCACAGAGAAATCAGACGTATACAGCTTTGGAGTGGTACTATTTGAGATTGTTTGCGGACGTGAGCCCCTCAATTTCACACTCCTTGAGGAACAAATTGTTCTTTCGGAATGGGTAAACGATTAAGAGAGCTAAGTTATAAACATCTGTTCTTGATGAGCTTTGCTTCCTCCCAGGCATGCAAGGAACTTGAGAAAGGCAACCTACGAACAGTAGTCGATCCCAAGTTATCCGACTATGGAGAGAAAGCAGCACTGAAGGTTTTGGAGGTGGCAAGAAAATGTGTGGAACGTTCTCCCCACGGGAGGCCTAACATGAGCACTGTCGTGATCCAGCTGAGAGAGGCCATCCAACTCGAGGAGGACGGAAGTTCACTGCCAAAATCCATGGAAATATTCACTGGAGGAAGATAGATATGCAAATATACTTAAATTCTATAAGATTGTGGCTATGGCATTTTTAACTACATATAATAATAATAATAATACTTTTACTTTAATGTTTTAAAAGTTGCGACTGAGTGACGAAAGAGAAGGGATATTGGAGTCAATTCGTTCTTATCAAATGCGGGTTGCTCTTCTCAGGAAGAGAATACTACACCGGTAAGTGCTAGTGCTTTGTATCCTTGGTAGAAAGAGGCCGCTGGACACTATCTTTCTTGAGCGCAATGAATTTCTGTTCAGTGTTTGTGCCCACAAGATCCACGATCACCAAATTTCCGAAGTGTCAACCCGTCTATGAAGCGAATCGAATCCTTGGCACCGCTGATCCCATCCTGGTGGCTCTGCGATGGCTGTTCCTGCTGCTGGATGCTGGAGGACAAGTCAGCCTCGCCGATCTCAAGAGCGCCAAGGAACCTGTACGAGATGCTGGGCTTGAACGCCAGGAAGAACCGGGTGACGGTGGCGGGCTGGATGACGGCCGTGTCCTTCCACCCGACTTGATCCACGTCGGCTCCCTGTGCCTCGCCCGTGTAGCAGCTCCTCGAGTCCGGGTAGTCGTACTCGAACGAGCACGACCCGGCAGCGAATCGCCCGGTGTCGAATCCCTGCTGCTCGAGCACGAGAAAGTTGATGAGATGGATGTGGATCGGATGGGATGCTGTCATGGTGTTGATCATGCACCACACCTCGTTCGTGTAGAGCAGGACTTGCTCGGTGGCCGGACGCGTGAAAGAGAACCTGTCCTGGAGGAAGAGTCCCGTGAGCGTGTTTCCAGAGTCGTGAACGAAAGGCCGGTTGTAAGTTGACGCCCAGTCGACGTACGAGAGATCTACTCCGGCCGTGGCTTTGATGATCGATAGCGTCGGCAACTCGGCCAGCTCGCTTGGAGTGAGTGCTTGCGGGATCTCATTGGCGTCTTCGTCGACGGTAGCGTTGGTCTGCCAGTTGATTACGTTGAACAGGAGAACTTCTTGCTCGGTGACGCTTCCACTCGGGAATGGAGCCGACGGGTTGTTGTACAAGAGAACTCTCTCCCCGGGCTTCACTCCGCGAAAGTCGATAAGAATGTCGACTCGTTCGGAAGGAGAGAGGCTGAGCTTCTTCTGCCGTATCGGAGTCGCCAGGTATCCCCCGTCCGTGGCAATCTTGATGAAGCTCAAGCTCGTGTCGTTCAAGGTGAGGATGAAGAATCTCGAGTTTGCCGCAAGCAGCACCCGGAACCTCACCACCACCGGCCAGACTTCGATGTAAGGCCACACCTTCCCGTTCACCAGAATGGTATCACCAAAGTAGTCCGCACACCACTGCGGATGAACTGCCGGATTGCTGGGATAGTTTATGGAGCCATCGCTGAAGAACTGCTTGTCTTGGATCACCAGAAGTAAGTAGTTTCTCGGGACCCAGGATGGATCTTCCCAGGGCGACTCTATCACGTAAAGTCCGACCAAGCCAGCAGCCATATTGAGCCGGGTCATGCCGTAAGTGTGGTCGTGATACCACAGGAGCAAGTGGCGCTGAAAGTTGGGATAGACGTAGTTTTGCGCAGGTTGGAGGAGTGCCCAATGTCTTGGAAGTTCGTAACGCTGTTCATCCTCGAGATTTTAGTCGCAGTAGAAGCGGATGAGGTCTGTCTGCAACTGTCACCGTCCCCGGAGCTGGAAAAGTTCGTCGACGTTCTTCCAACGCCACCGAAGATATACTTGACCCCACGCTACAGAGTTACCATTGGAGCTTACAAAATCACCCAGGTCCACTTGATTTCCAGACTCTTCCAAGACTCGTTTTTTTTTGTTGACGCAGAAACTGCACAGAGACTTGCCACCAACAACACTGTATGCATTCGGCACGAGCGAGTATACAGCTTCATATCCGGGTCCAACTTTGATAGCCCAAAAGAGACAAACATCCTTTGTCCGATGGGAAAATCACATTCCAGATCGTGAACACTCTCTTCCAGTCGACTATACGATCCTAGGGGCGGTACGGCTACATTCCCGTGGTCCCTCATCTCCATGGACAAGAGGGCTCGAGATGGTCCGACGGGCATCCAGAAGCCTGGTTTACATCAGTTGGCGAGCGGGGCCCGGGTTACGTAACAACACTTGGATCGTATAGTCGACTTTGAATCTGATTTTTCCTATCGGACAAAGTTGCGAAGTAAAGTTGCTATCAAACTTTCAATCGTACAGGGTTATAACTCCAGCATTAACTCTGTAAGCAGCTGACAAGGTAGCGTAGTTCATACGTTCTTGCTCTGGAACTTCAGCTCTTTGAGAGGTCTAGCTGAAAGAATTGAGAGCTCTGGTTTGTGCTATCTTCTTACTCTTTTCGAAAATAGGTCCAGGGAAATGTGGTCGGCAGATTATCTCCTTCAACTTCTCACGGTTGGCTTCCTCGCAAAGATTTATGTTTCAGCGCAACCAGGTCAGTAGTATTGCATATATGGTCATTGTGAAGAATGTTTTTGCAGGATTTTTGAGCCTGGACTGTGGAGGTTATGACAATTACACGGATGGAAATGGTATCGAATGGACACCGGATGACAAGTATATCACCACCGGAATTCCAACCTCCATTTCAATCTCTGCTAAAAATCAGACAGATTTACTTTGGCAGCGTCTTCGCTACTTTAATGACACCTCTCGGAAGCACTGCTATGCTCTGCCAGTCGTGGTAAACCAGAGCTACATCCTGAGGCCATCGTTCTACTACGGAAACTACGATGGGATAGAAACAACTTTAACGCAGTTTAACATTATAATTGGTGCAAACGATGTGGTAAAGGCCGGCGTGGATTTAACCAGCAAAGAACTGAAGTACTATTACGAGTTTGTGATTAAAGCCACAAGCTCGACCCTGGATCTATGCCTTGGAACCCGCTCAAATTCACCAGCAAATATCCCGTTCATCTCTGCAATCGAGCTCAGAAGACTGGATCCCGGTTTGAAAATAAGTTCTTTCAATGCTAGTGAGCTTTTGATCATGTGGAGAAGGATCGATTTAGGAGCAGCTACAAAACATACCATCAGGTAAGAAATTCTTCAGAAGTTAAATGTTCTTTTTGACTCGTATCAAACAGGTACCCTTCTGATGACTATGATCGAATATGGAGACGTGATACAGATTTCCCAGGCTTCATGGGAGAATACCAACGGATCAATACTACTTCGAATGTTTCTCTGGGAAAAACTCTTGACAAACCTCCCACGGCGGTGATGAGTTCCGCCATCACTTCCAATTCGACAATGGTTTTCCAGTTCCCAACAAAGCTTCCCACAACGCCGACTAAATTCTACGTCAACTTTTACTTTGCTGAGTTTTCTGCCCTGGTGAACAACACGAGGGAGTTCCGAGTCATTCTTAACACCAGCTCGCTTGAATCTCCCCACCTTTTGGCGACCATCAACGTGGAGAAGTATACTCAGGCTCCTTTAACTTCATTCCAAATGTACCTCAACTCGCCAGTGGAGCTTACCGAGCCAACAAACTTCTTGTTTGTGCCCACGGTGAACTCTACGCTTGGTCCGATTCTCAATGCTGCCGAGCTGTGTGAGTACAAAGGAGGTCTCCTCCCAGGGACGGAACCCAACGATGGTAAAGCACATATGAAACTTTAAATAATTGTGATCTCGTTAACATTGTCATAAACAATGCAGTGGCAGCTATACGTGATGTGATGAAAGATTTTCACATCACTGAGTGGTCAGGAGACCCTTGCTTGCCTGACGCGTACACTTGGAAATGGATTACTTGCGATGTAGCTCAAATCCCAGCAAGAATTATAGAGCTGTAATAAGTGGACGCATTTCTAGCGTGATCACATTAACATCTGTGCATGACAGGAACTTGTCTAGCAGTGGACTCAAAGGAACCATATCACTGTCCATCACAAAGCTATCGCATCTAACAAAAATGTATGTATGGGTTTTTTTAACGTAATTTTTCGTTCTTCTGATCTTTATGTCTTCAGATATCTGGATAACAACGCATTGACAGGGCGTGTTCCAGATTTTAGCTCCTTGAAAAACCTCACGGTTTTGTGAGTACCACCATTCAGTATGCTAGATGATAGAATTTTACTAATTCTTTTGCAGGTCATTAGAAAACAACAGTTTGGATTGCCTACCACCAGAACATGTACACTTCTCTTACAAGTCAGTTTTTCTCTATTGCCATTGAATTGTTTATCACCTATATGTTTTTTCAGCGCTACTTTTAGCTTGTGTGAGAAGAAACATACAACACTTATATTTGAAGTAGTGGTACCATGTGCAGCCATATTGTTAGTTGGAGCTGTACTTGTGGTTTGTTTCTTTTCCCGTGGAAAAACTTCAAAATCCATCACAGAACAGAACAGGAATCCAAGTAAGTTCCAAAAGGTAGCCTTGTGGGTAACTCATTTTTCTAATGGCATATTGTTCCATCCAGGCTTGTCTCTAAAATCTCCAAACTCTAGCACTAAAATGATTGCTTACAAGGATGTGATTGAGGCCACAAGCAACTTCAAGAGAGTCATTGGTGAAGGAAGTTTTGGACCCGTGTACTATGGCTGCCTTCCAAATGGTGTTGAAGTTGCAGTCAAGGTTTTATCCAGTAACTCAAAGCAAGGATATCAAGAATTTCAAACTGAGGTGAGTTTGATCATCAACAGGTACAAATCTATCTAATTTTCCTTGATAGATTGATATTTTATCAGTTGTACACCACAAGAACTTAGTGCCCTTTCTTGGTTACTGTACTCAAAAGTCCAAGCTCATACTGGTCTACGAGTTCTTGTCAAATGGAACGTTGAGGGAGCACTTGTATGGTGGTAAGAATTTTTTGTGTTGAAACGTCCTCCTTTAATGTAATGTCAGAAGGTAAAAGATATCCAACTCTAAGCTGGAAAACTCGGCTTGGAATAGCTCTAGATGCTGCTCAAGGTAAGCTAAATCTCTGAATTGATATGATATAACTCTCTCTCATAGGCTTGGAGTATTTGCACACATCATGCAATCTACACATAATCCATCGAGACGTCAAAACAAGCAATATACTTTTAAGTTTTGATATGGTTGCAAAAGTCAGTGACTTCGGTCTCTCCAAGTTTTATGACAGTAACAAAGCATCTCATGTCTCAACTGGCATCAAAGGAACTCCAGGATATCTTGATCCAGAGTGAGCAAAAGTTTTTTTTCTCAATAAGCATGATATCTTACTGAATTTAATGGTTTTTCAGGTACCATTCCTATAGCAGGCTCACAGAGAAATCAGATGTATACAGCTTTGGAGTGGTACTATTTGAGATTGTTTGCGGACGTGAGCCCCTCAATTTCACACTTCTTGAGGAACAAATTGTTCTTTCGGAATGGGTAAACTATTAAGAGAGCTTAGTTATAAACATCTGTTCTTTGCTTCCTCCCAGGCATGCAAGGAACTTGAGAAAGGCAACCTACGAACAGTAATCGATCCCAGCTTATCCGACTATGGAGAGAAAGCAGCACTGAAGGTTTTGGAGGTGGCAAGAAAATGTGTGGAACGTTCTCCCCACGGGAGGCCTAACATGAGCACTGTCGTGATCCAGCTGAGAGAGGCCATCCAACTCGAGGAGGACGGAAGTTCCCTGCCAAAATCCATGGAAATATTCACTGGAGGAAGATAGATATGCAAATATACTAGAATTTTATAAGATTGTGGATATATAGTTTACGATGGCATTTTTAACTATATAATAATAATAATAATAATAATAATAAAACTTTTACTTTAATGTTTTAAAAGTTGCGACTGTTTAGGGACTGAGTGGGATACTGCAGTCAAATCGTTGTTATCAAATGCGGGCTGCTTTTCTCAGGAAGAGAATACTACACCGGTAAGTGCTAGTGCTTTGTATCCTTAGTAGAAAGAGGCCGCTGGACACTATCTTTCTTGAGCGCAATGAATTTCTCTCCAGTGTTTGTCACTCTGCCCACAAGATCCACGATCACCAAATTTCCGAAGTGTCAACCCGAATCGAATCCTTGGCACCGCTGATCCCATCCCGGTGGCTCTACGATGGCTGCTCCTGCTGCTGGATGCTGGAGGACAAGTCAGCCTCGCCGATCTCAAGAGCGCCAAGCTCAGGAAGCAAGAGAAGAAGGGGAAGGGAGGCATGATTCGCGAGGACCTCTACTATCCTGGCGTCCTGTAGGTGCATCGTGTGGCCAGCACGGGCTGCATTACGAGAAACAATGCCAGTGGTACGTGTCCATGCTAGACATGCAAGGATTCGTCAATGGCGAGCTCAGAGCTGGTTCTACATACGAGCGAGCTAGCGGGAGGCTACAGGTGACTCCTAAGTTCCCATCAGTGCCAGAAGCCTCGGATCCAGATTTTCTTCTCATGACTTAACGCTGGCAGATGTTCTTCCCTCGAAACCGAGCCGCGGTTTTGCTACGGTGGTAGAGCACATCTAGTGGCTGTTCAAGCTGCCTCATCCGGCTATCACGTTGAAAGGCGCAGAACTCGTGCTGTCCGAGGAACACGGTGTTCAAGGTGTGGTTGCGCCTCTAGCCAGTGTCGAGAAGCGTATCATCTCGCAACGGATGGCCATGTCAACCTGCGGAGGCTGTGCAGCTCAGGAGAGGTGGACGTAGGTCTCCTCAGCTATCTGGTACTGGAGAGTTACGGGGAGCTATTCGGTGAGGCTCATGTCCGGGATGCAGTCTCCATGGAGGAGATGTGGAACCATAGACTCTGGCACCTTCACGAGAAAGGTGTGCTCCATCGGGATCTCAAGCCAGACAACATGCTGGTCTTAATGGGGTGCTGAAGATCATCGACTATGACGTTTCGTGTTTCAAAGGCGAGGCTACCACCTTCACGGAAGACGCTGGCACCAAGGGGTATGAGTCGCCATTCGCTACTGCGGCCTTACAAGTAGGAGGATGACGTGCTGAGCTTGGCACTGGTGTTTTACTCTCAAAGAACAGGCGTGCGAGGACAGATGAGAGCGACTTCGTATTTTGGGTGACGACCTCTGCTCACAGTGCTGGCGCTGGACAAATTCATTGAGAAGCTATGGTTTTGATCCTAGAGACGCCCTCTCTACTGCGAAGGAAGGTGACTTGGTGTATCCTTAAAATGTTTTTCTTCCTTTATATTGATAGTAGCTAAATCTTCTACACCATGCGAAGCAACAAAACTACCCACATACTGCTAGGAGAATGTGTGGTTGCAGCATTCTACTTGTAAAATCATCCACTTACAAACTTCTACCAACGTACCATACATTTGTAGCTTTGCCAACCATCTTTTATTCCGGATGAATGGCAGGAGATTCGTGCTCAGAAAACTGCAGCCGCCGTGAGTGACAAAGGTTTTTGCAATCTGTGGAGCCCGCACTTGCTCCGAGCCTGCTGTAACGTATCAACTCGATGCAGTTCTTGAGGACTTTGTGGCTGATGCATGGAGAATGGGATCTCTGGGGATGGCTGGGACAGCTCTATGTATCATGATCATGACAAAAGGAAGGATGCAAAAGGTGCAAGAGTGAAATCCTTGCCATGCTTGCCAAGAATGTGATTCATGTGCACTATGTGCAACCAGGGATCACATATGATGATCTTCCATCATCAGCTTTTGCAGTTCACTTTTCTGCAATGAAAGAGGTTATGGAATGCATTCAGTGTTCATACCTCCTACCGGACACGACATAGGGAGGAGCACAAGGAGCTGTGATCAAAATATAGTTAGAACTTATTGATACATAAATGATACGTGTTTGTGTAAAGCTTGTGTTACTAGTTGTTCTTGTTCCGCTATCAAGAATAACACCTGGTAAAGTTTCAGCGTTCTAGATGGATGGAATGGAATTGTGACTAGAACATCTTATTGTTGCGTGTAGTTTTAGTAAAGATGGATGGACTCGTTGGTGACGAGCTTTACGTAGACGTGTTTCCTGCGAAAGAAAGAGAAGGATTCCAGTGATGAAAAAAAAACAATGCCAAGAGTGTGAGCACCTGTCGTGTGGATGGATCGAGTTCCCGGTGGCGAGCCCTACGTTTTTGCTTTCGTCCCTGGGAAAGTAACGAGGGAAGGACTTGTTGGTGTAGAGAGCATTCGTGCTGGACACCACCAGCGGCCTCATCATCTCGTTATCCTCGTGCTCGAGAATGTGGCAGTGCCACACAAAGTGTGGAAACGTCGTTGGATCCAGCGGGAACCTGTACGAGATGCTGGGCTTGAACGCCAGGAAGAACCGGGTGACGGTGGCGGGCTGGATGACGGCCGTGTCCTTCCACCCGACTTGATCCACGTCGGCTCCCTGTGCCTCGCCCGTGTAGCAGCTCCTCGAGTCCGGATAGTCGTACTCGAACGAGCACGACCCGGCAGCGAATCGCCCGGTGTCGAATCCCTGCTGCTCGAGCACGAGAAAGTTGATGAGATGGATGTGGATCGGATGGGATGCTGTCATGGTGTTGATCATGCACCACACCTCGTTCGTGTAGAGCAGGACTTGCTCGGTGGCCGGACGCGTGAAAGAGAGCCTGTCCTGGAGGAAGAGTCCCGTGAGCGTGTTTCCAGAGTCGAGGCTTACACGGTGGACGAAAGGCCGGTTGTAAGTTGACACCCAGTCGACGTACGAGAGATCTACTCCGGTCGTGGCTTTGATGATCGATAGCGTCGGCAACTCGGCCAGCTCGCTTGGAGTGAGTGCTTGCGGGATCTCATCGTCGTCTTCGTCGATGGTACCGTTGGTCCGCCAGTTGATTACTTTGAACAGGAGAACCTCTTGCTCGGTGACGCTTCCACTCGGGAATGGAGCCGGCGCGGTGTTGTACAAGAGAACTCTCTCCCCGGGCTTCACTCCGCGAAAGTCGATAAGAATGTCGACTCGCTCGGAAGGAGAGAGCCTGAGCTTCTTCTGCCGTATCGGAGTCGCCAGGTATCCCCCGTCCGTGCCAATCTTCATGAAGCTCAAGCTCGTGTCGTTCAAGTTGAGGATGAAGAATCTCGAGTTTGCCGCAAGCAGCACCCGGAACCTCACCACCACCGGCCAGACTTCGATGTAAGGCCACACCTTCCCGTTCACCAGAATGGTATCACCAAAGTAGTCCGGACACCACTGCGGATGAACTCCCGGATTGCTCCCAACACTGGGATAGTTTATGGAGCCGTCGCTGAAGAACTGCTTGTCTTGGATCACCAGAAGCACGTAGTTTCTCGGGACCCAGGATGGATCTTCCCACGGCGACTCTATCACGTAAACTCCGACCAAGCCAGCAGCCATGTTGAGCCGGGTCATGCCGTAAGTGTGGTCGTGATACCACAGGAGCGAGTGGCGCTGAAAGTTGGGATAGACGTAGTTTTGCGTCACGTAACCCGGGCCCCGCTCGCCAACTGATGTAAACCAGGCTTCTGGATGCCCGTCAGACCAGCTCGAGCCCTCTTGTCCATGGAGATGAGGGACCATGGGAATGTAGCCGTAGCGCGGACCCGCCCCTAGGATCGTATAGTCGACTGGAAGAAAGTGTTCACGATCTGGAATGTGATTTTCCCATCGGACAAAGGATGTTTCTCTCTTTTGGGCTATCAAAGTTGGACCCGGAAAAGAAGCTGTATACTCGCTCGTGCCGAATGCATACAGTGTTGTTGGTGGCAAGTCTCTGTGCAGTTTCTGCGTCAACAAAAGAAAAAACGAGTCTTGGAAGAGTCTGGAAATCAAGTGGAGAAAGAACACATACCTGGGTGATTTTGTAAGCTCCAATGGTAACTCTGTAGCGTGGGCTCAAGTATATCTTTGGTGGCGTTGGAAGAACGTCGACGAACTTTTCCAGCTCCGGGGATGGTGACAGTTGCAGACAGACCTCATCCGCTTCTACTGCGACTAAAATCTCGAGGATGAACAGCGTTACGAACTTCCAAGACATTAGGAACTCTTCCAACCTGCTTGCAACACTTGCCGAACTTAAATAAAGTCAGTCAAAGAAGTGAACCTGGCGTAGTCCAGACGTACTTGCAAAGTCTTTTCCAAAGAGCGTGACACAGCTCGCCGGGAGTTCAAATAATTCAGCGCTTGAGAGGCCGAAAAATAATGGCTAGCAAAGGAAAGTTGTGCTTCATTGTCTCGTCGATCTTCATCCTGCGTTTTGCTCAAGCAGAACAATACTACAGGAATTTCACCAGCAAAATAAATGATTCCTTCTTGTTTCCGCTTGATCCACACGGCTTGAATGGCCGCTACGCTGGTTTATGGTCCAACTATAGCGACACACAGATCAGCCGGTATATTAGTTACGAGGTGTGGATGCTGAGTTATAACGCTGACACACCACGATCGTTTTTCCTGGCCCTCGTTGCCATCCGCAATCCAACTAGCTGGGAGCTCACAAGACCGGTCATCCTGTGGAAGGCCAGACAGACGAGGCTTGTAGGTGAGAATGCCACTCTACAATTTACCACAGATGAAGGACTTAAAGTCGAAGAAGACGGTGATGTTGTATGGTCCACGAAAACTGCAAACAGAGGCGTCCGGTGGCTCTGTATTTCCAATCGCGCAACCATAATGCTCCTGGATGAAAGCGGAAGCAATGTCATCTGGCAAAGCAGCGACGAACCTTCTGATACTGTGCTGTTGCAACGAGCACTTACGCCGGGACAAAAGCTCGTAAGTTGGAATACTTCAGAAGACAGCAGCGATGGCCTCTATAGTCTCGTCATAGAGAAAAACAGGCTGCAACTGTTGTACGCCTCGCAACCGTACTGGAGCTTCGGTAATATTACCAGCGAGGAAGATATGTTTGCGGTGTTTTGCTGGCAAAACGATGGTATCGTGTCTCTGGATCTGCGAGGCAACTTCTCACAGATTGAAACGGAGCGTGATGACTTGGGCTTAGTGTTTTCCTGGTCATGTTCCAGTCGAGGTTTAAGAGACCAAGTGATGGAGTTGCCAATAAATGGGTCACAACTCACGGCCTCCACTTTCATAAAGCTGAAACCGGACGGGGATGTCGTCTTGTACTCCTGGAATTGGACGGGTACAAACTGGATAGATTTCTTCAGGTTTTCGACTCTCTTCAAGTGCTTTCTTCCAAGTGGATGTGGAAGATACAGAACCTGCAATTCAGCATCAGGCGCATGCGAGGAAACTTGTCCAGATACCTTTGCAAGAAGAGGTGAAGACTGCCAGCCACCATATCCACTAGAGACATGCGAAGACCAGCTCGAGTATCGATTCGTTCGAAGAGAGGGAGCTGATTACTTCTCCACAAATTATTCCACTCCAGTTCCTGAAGCATCAGTGGAGGCGTGTCAGGGGCGACGTGAGTCGAACTGCACCTGCACGGCGGCCTTTTATAATGACGGGAGCTGCTTTCTCACGCACGGCGACGTGCAGTCACTCCGATCTGGGAAGTACGTTGCTCTGCTGAAAGTTGCCCGCCCTCGAAAGGTTTCCAAGACGCAACTCCAGGCCATCACATTGGGAGTACTTGTTCCAACATTGTTCCTGCTGATAGTCTGTCTCGGATGGCACTGCCGGAGGAGAAATAAGCATGATGACGACGAGGGAGAAGAAGAAAGCACCTTGCAGCTATCCCTCATGGCGGGTATCCCCAGGCGCTTCAGTTTCCAGGAGCTTGAAGAAGTCACAGGGAAGTTCAGCAACTGCCTCGGGAATGGAGGATTCGGAAACGTTTTCAAAGGATTACTTGCCGATGGCACTGAAGTTGCTGTGAAGAAGCTCGAAGGCTCGAACCAGAAAAGTAAGGACTTTTTTGCGGAAGTTGGAATTCTAGCCAGGACGCACCACTGGAACCTCGTCAAGCTGCTGGGATTCTGTGCGCAAGGGCCCAGGAAAAGGCTCCTTGTGTACGAGTATATGAAGAATGGCTCCCTAGAGCGGTGGATATTTGAAGACGACAGAATTCCTGGGAATATTTCGTGGAAACTTAGATTCAACATCGCAATAGGCACAGCGAGAGGATTGAACTACTTACACGATGACTGTGTTGAAAGGATAATCCACCTGGATCTGAAGCCGGAGAACGTACTCCTCGACGATGGTTTCCAGCCGAAGATAGCAGACTTCGGATTGTCCAAGCTCATGGACAGGAAGGAAAGCCAGTTGCAGCTGACGATTACGAGAGGCACCCCTGGCTACGTTGCACCGGAGTGTATTCAGGAAGGAACGGTGACTGAAAAAACAGATGTTTTCGGCTTCGGGGTTCTGCTGCTCGAGATCATAACAGGCTGCAAGAACAGGAACCTCTCAGGCGACTACCTGAAGGACTACTTGTTGGTTAGTAACAGAAACGGTAGTGCCGCTGCTCACCTCTCTGAAGAAGAGAACGAAAAGGAAAGATTGAAGAATGTTGCGGCGTTGTGTGTTCGAGACGATCCAAACTTACGGCCCTCGATAAGCAAGGTTATACAGATGATGGAAGGAGTTACCGAGCTGCTTGAAGTACCTTTGGAATCGGAGCTGAATTTCTTTTTCGCTTACAGACCCAAAGATCAGCTTAGCAGAACCGCAGCCTCGAACGTGACTTATAGGAGTTCTGATAAGTTGCTGAACTCATCTTCCTCGTTTAATGCCTTCTCACAATCTAGCCTGAATGCCCGATGAAATTATACGTTACAACATTGAACGAAAAATATACCTTCGTTGATTCGCTACTGCTGAAACTGTTGCGCTAAGCCAAAAACAATGTAGCTGCAATATCATTAAATCATCAACCTCCAAAGAAGAACAGTTATATCTTCTCCTATTTGGGTTCCAGAAACTCATAAAGGAAATTCGTCGTCCAAGTCTGTAGAAAAATCGTCAATTAGTACGTGATTCAAAACTAGAAATTATAAGAAGAAACCGTTTCGAGCTTCGGCTTTCAGCAATAGCAAGCTACAAAAAGAAAAACCTCGCGAAATATCCTGAAAAGCTCCATCAGGAACACAAGAAAAGAGAAAGATTGCCAATCGTCATTGCAATGTGGGGTAAAAAGGCAATATTGAGCTTAAAATCGCAGGTGATCTTGAGAGAAAAGGATGGAGCTCCCTCATGAGAGTTTCGAAAAGATGCTGAAACTATCAATATCGTTCAAGGATTTGCCACAACACGAGTCCATCTAGAGCACAAAAAAAGGAATAGCAATGGACGCGATTCTTAGCTTGAAAACCAAAATTTACCAAACGATGGACAGCGTCCGCCTGGAGCTAACACAGTTGGAGCACAAAAGCAAGCGCATCACAGCGCGCTCTTCCTCTATCAACGAACAGCGACCAAAGTGTGAGCGTCCATCTAAAGCCAAAGGAATTCTTTGTGTAAGCGAAATATACCTCAGATTTCACGGATCTTCTGTGACGAGCTCCAGCGCCAAGAAAAAGAAATCGCGCCATGGCATTGCATTCTACAAATTGCGAGGTTAATCAGCCGCAAGAAATCGAAACTAGAGAGAGCAACTCAATGAATGAAGTGTCACCTCAAAGATTCACCACAGTGCTCGAGCAGCATTGCGCCGATCTCCACGGAATGCGACTCGATCGGCAGAAATCCATTGCATTTTCCGAGCTCCATCCCTGGCCCATTCATAAACCCTAGAACACAAACCCACTTTAAGAGGCTTTAACAGGAGCAAAGGTTTATTATTTATCCACGTATGATCCAAAACATTCTTCGCAATCTAGCGAGCCAAGGATTTCACAGCGTCTCGCAGCCTCGTGTAGTCCTCGAGCTTGTTGTAAATCTGGTGAGAAACTCTCGCGTACGCCGTCCCGGATCTCTTGCTCTTCGAATTCGCGCTGGGCGATCCCCCCGCCTGGAAGCAAATCGGCACCTCCACTCCAAACTCCCTGCGCAAGCTCGGCACACGTCCCACACTGCGTCCCCCACGCCGCCGCGAGCATCTCCGCCATCGCCATCGCCCGGCGGTGATTGAAAGCGATGAGACTGGAGAGGCCACCTAGATTCCCATCGATGAACTCCACCGCGGCGGTCACAGCGAGCTGGGAGGTGTAGTCTCTCGTCCCCACCCAAGAACACTCGCTGAAGAGCCCCAGCTTGAAGTTGTGAGACACCACCGGGTGGTGGAGGCGCTCCAGGTGCTTGGCCTTGGCGTGGAGGAACGCGACGCTATGTGGAGCGAAGAGCCACTTGTGGAGATTGCTCGAGTAGTAGTCGGCGTCGATCTCCTCCACGCTCAGCTCGATGTTGCCGATCGCGTGAGCTCCGTCCACGAAGATCTGCTCCACTCCAGCGTCGCGGCAAAGGGCGACGAGATCTCGCGCCGGGAGAACCACCGATGGCATCGAGGTGATGTGGTCGATCACCGCCAGCCGGATGGTGGTGGAGCTCTTGGCGGCCTGCTCCAGCGATCGCTGGAAGCTGTCGATGATCTGCCGGGCGGAGAGGATTGGAAGCGCGAGCTCCACCTCGATGATCCTCGCGCCGGCGCGAACAGCGTAGGCCTCGAAGCACTTCTTCACGGCGGCATAGCTGCAATTGAGCATGAGGATGGCGTCGCCGGGGTGGAATCTCTTCTCCAGGAATCCCCACGCCATGTCCTGGGCGATCATCGCCGCCGCCGTCGTCACGTTGTCCACCAGGACGATCTCCTCCACGTTGGGGGCGCGGATGATCGACGCGATCGCCTCCCGCGACGCGCGCAATCTCTTCTCCAGGGGGCCGAAGTAGAACTCGTCCGGCTGCTCCAGCCACTGCCTGTGCCATCGCTGCTGCGCCTCCAGGACCGATCGAGGACAGCTCCCAAAGCTCCCATTGTTGATTCTCGCGATTCCTTGCCTGTGATGCGAGAATTCGCGAGCCAGCATCTCCTCCCAGATCTTGCCGGATCCTACAATCGGCATTCTCTGGATACTCCCGGCCTCTTGGCCTTGCATCGACACAGTCATGGCGCAGCACCCTCGATCGATCAAGAATCCCTACCCTCGTCGCGGGGATCAATCCAATGCAGCACAACCTTCCCAGAAGAATCTACACTCACAATCTCGCGGGAAATAGGTCGAGTTCTTCGCCGCTGCCCTGCCGCCATAGCTCAAGCTTCTGCCCTTAAAAACAAACGAGCCTCTTATTCCCTGGATATTCTCATTTGTCCGTTATTATATGAAGGAATCTATGGGCATATCCGTCTTGGTCAATGCATATGCCCGGATATCCTAAGAAGATAGCTTTGCAGCAATGGCAAAACAATTCCTCCACGAAAGAAGGAATCGATCGATCAAAAAGAATGTTGCCATAGCTTTTCGAGATGCTTGCTATCGCCCATCCTGCAATGGAAGAATAACAAAGGTTGTTAGATCTCGATTCCTCTGGAGAAAGATCGTCAAACCTTGTGTTTTCGAGTGCCCATCCTAGTTATTAAAAGAATAGCAAAGATCGTTAGATTTTGAGAGAAAGATCCTCAAACCTTTGCTGTGTTATTCGAGACGCTATCGCCCATCCTGGCAAAGACATGTGATAGAAGAATAACAAAGCTTGTAAGATTGCGATTCCTCTGTAGAAAGACCATCAAACCTTTGTTTACGTTTTCGCTCCCGTGCTCCGTGCGAGTTACTTTCTTGCTTGCGTTTTCTCTTGCCGACGTCCTCGTACTCGATTGGATCGATTATCACTCCCGCTCGTTTGATTATCTGCGTGGAAATCACGTTTACAATCAAATCAAAACAGGAAGATCGAGAAACAGTAAGAAAAACAAAGCTTACAGATGGTCGTGTCAAGTCCTGGAAAGCTTTGGTTGGATTGTAATCACCCCCAATGGCATCCGCATTGTTTTCTCGAAAACTTCTTTCGATGTGTAGGGGAATGGCAGCGACGACGACAGGAACTTTGCAGCCTGTTACACAGAGAAGTGAGCAAAGAAAAGGAAGAACAGGAAAAAACGCTCCCAGTACCTTCTTATCAGTCTTCTGGCTGATGATGACGTGCTTGAGCTTTGCATCCAGTCTCCGCTTCTCGGCCTCTTCTTTCTTTCGCTTGGCCTCCTCCTGTTGCTTTAGCATCCATTGTGGAGGACCTCTCTTCTTCTGGATGTCTGTCCACTGCCCCCACCCTGGTAAGTCCATTCTCTCGAGTTCTTCTTGGGGACACTCCTCGTCCACTGCGGCCGCTTTTGCTTCTTGGAACTCGGCTTCCACATCGTCTCCAGCAAAAGCCTCTCGAATCAGATCCTCTTGACTACGTGGAACTATGACTTCGTCACCGTCGTAGTCGAGATCTTCCTCTTGTTCTTCCATGCTGTTTACAGGTTTTTTGTCCTGCTTGCGACTCGTATCCTTTGGCAGCCCCGCAATCGCCACTTTAAAACTTTCGTCTGCTACGCTTTTGCTGTTTGTTTCTGGCCTCACAACTTTGTCCGTGCCGAATACTGTCGGGTTTGCGCTGATGACCGAATGTTTCGTCACCTGCACTCCCATCGAGTCGCCGATTCCTTGTTTTTGCTTTTCTTCTTTGTCTTCTCGCTCTTGTTTCCTGCTATCGTGATTGATTCGTCAACTTTCGTTGTGTGCTCCACGGCAGCACTAACCTATATTGCCGCGTTATCTTATTTTGAGGAAAGAAGAGCTATACCGGCTTACCATTCCATCCAGATGGTGTTTAACGGGAGGTGTCATACTAATAAGCACAACACCGTACTGACGTGTCTTTCCATGTAATGACAACTATTGGACACACTTTATGTATGCCTTTACTCTGCCTTATTTTATTGTGTGTTAAAGGCGCCGACCCCGCCAGCTACATACGTAGTCCAACTTGCAACGTCTTGTCATGACACAGCTGGCTGGGAGTTCAAATAATTCAGCGCTTGAGAGGTCGAGAACTCCATGGCTACCAAAGGAGAGCTGTGCTTCATCTTCTCGTCGATCTTCATCCTGGGATTTTCTCGAGCGGAACTGTACTACAGGAATTTCACCAGTGAATTAAATGGTCCCCTGTATCCGCTTGATCCATCCGGCTTGAGTGGCCGCTACACTGATTTATGGTCCAACTACACCGACACGGACATGAGCTTCCAGGTGTGGATGCTGAGCTATGACGCCACAACACCAAGATCGTTCTTCCTGGCACTGGTTGGAATTTGCAATCCAAGTAAGCTCTGGGACCTCACAAAACCGGTCGTTCTGTGGAAGGCCCGTCAGACGAGGCTTGTAGGAGAGAATGCCACTCTAGCATTCACCACCGATGGAGAGCTCAAGCTTGAAGAAGATGGCGACGTTGTCTGGTCCTCCAACACCACAAACAAAGGCGTCCGGTGGCTTGCCATATCCGACAGCGCGACCATAATGCTCCTGGATGAAAGTGAAAGCAATGTCATCTGGCAAAGTAGCGACGAACCTTCTGACACTGTGCTGTTGCAACGAGCGCTTAAGCCGGGATATAAGCTCGTAAGTTGGAATACTTCAGAAGACAGCAGCGACGGCCTGTATAGCCTTGTCATGGAGAAGAACAGGCTCAAACTGTTGTACGACTCGCAACCATACTGGAGCTTCGGTAATATTACCAGAGAGGAAGATATGTTTGCGGTCTTCTGCTGGCAGCCAAATGGAGTCGTGTCCCTGGATCTCCGAACTAATTTCTCACAGATAGCCGTTGCGGGCTTGGTACAGCCGGAGTCTTGTGCCATACCTGGTTCTGAAGACCAAGCGATGCAGCTGCCAATAAACGGGTCACAGTTCACGTCCTCCACTTTCATAAGGCTCACACCAGATGGAGATGTGGACCTGTACTCCTGGAATTGGACGGGTAGCAACTGGGTGACTTATCTCAGCTTTTCCAATCACTTCAAGTGCTTCCTTCCAAGTGCATGCGGGAAATATAGAACCTGTAATCCAACATTAGGTACATGCGAAGATACTTGTCCCGAGAGCTTTACCAAGAAAGATGAAGATTGCCAGCCATCGTTTCCACTTCAGATGTGTGAGGAGATGGAGTATCGATTCGTTCGGAAGGAGGGAACTGATTACTTCTCCACAAATTATACTGATCCACTCAATGTTGCATCGGAAGAAGATTGTCAAGGGCTGTGTGAGTCGAATTGCAACTGCACGGCTGCCTTCTATAGTGACCGGGCCTGCTTTCTCGTGCATGGAGACGTGCAATCACTTCGAACTGGACAATACGTTGCGTTATTGAAAGTTGCACAGCCACGAAAGAATTCCAGGAAGCACGTCCAGGCCATCACCTTGGGAGTACTTATTCCAACAGTCGTCCTACTGATAGTAAGCCTCGGATGGCGCTGCCGGAGGAACAAGGAAGATGACGACGAGGGAGAAGAAGAAAGCACCTTGCAGCTCTCTCTCATGGCTGGCATGCCGAGGCGTTTTAGTTACCAGGAGCTCCAGCAAGTCACAGGGAACTTCAGTGACAGACTGGGAAGCGGAGGATATGGAAGCGTGTTCAAAGGAAAACTTACCGATGGAACTGAAGTCGCTGTGAAGAAACTTGAAGGCTCCAATCAGAGGAGCAAAGATTTTTTCGCCGAAGTTGGAATCCTAGCCAGGACGCACCACTGGAACCTCGTCAAGCTGCTGGGATTCTGTGCCCAAGGTCCCAGGAAAAGGCTCCTTGTGTACGAATATATGAAGAACGGGTCCCTGGAGCGATGGATATTTGAAGACGATAGAAAGCCTGGCAGTTTTACATGGGACGTTAGATACAACATTGCCTTGGGCACAGCAAGAGGATTGAGTTACTTACATGACGACTGCGCTGAGAGGATCATCCACCTGGACCTGAAGCCGGAGAATGTGCTCGTCGACGATGGTTTCCAGCCGAAGATAGCCGACTTCGGATTGTCCAAGCTCATGGACAGGAAGGAAAGCCAGCTACAACTGACAATTGCGAGAGGCACCCCTGGATACGTCGCACCCGAGTGTGTTCAGGAAGGAACGGTGACTGAGAAAACCGACGTTTTCGGCTACGGGGTACTGCTGCTCGAGATGTTAACAGGTTGCAAGAACAGGAACCTCTCAAGTGATTACCTGAAGGACTTCTTGTTAGTCAGTGGACAGAACGACAGTGCTGCTGCTCACCTCCATCAAGACGAGAAGAAAAGAGAAAGATTGAAGAACGTTGCAGCCTTGTGCGTCCAAGACGATCCAGATTTACGGCCCTCGATGAGCAACGTGGTACAAATGATACTGGGAGTTACTGAGCTGCCTCAAATGCCCTCGCGATCACAGCTGAATTTCTTTCTTGCTTACAGATCCAAAGAGCACTTGAACAGGAGCTCAGGCTCGGACGTCTCGCATAGGAGTTTTGATAAGTTGCTGGATTCATCGATGTCATCGACGTCATTTGCAATTTTCTCACAAAATAGTGGTCGATAGTTAAACCGGAGTATAATTTAAACGTAGGTATAGTATTGCCTCTGAAAATCACAAAATTTGTTGAGGTTCATTCTTTGTCAAAGAAGTAAAAATATACCTTCGGAGGAAGTATTTCGTCCTTGTTCAACAAGAGAATCGCCGATCACAATGCTTCTAGGAGTTTTGGGTTTGGTGGTTCAGAATCGTGTTCTTCGTTCCCTACGTCGCAGCGTCGCGCAGTGTTTCTTGCCAAGAAAAATGAAAAGTCGCTGTTAGACTCCGCAAACCATTACTAAACAATACCTCACACATGGTCACATTGCAGTGCCGCATTGAATAGCAATTAGCGTTGAAACAGTCCCGACGAGACAATTTCCTGGCATTACTAAAACTCAACGATGAACAGCGGCACAAACTATTCCTTATCAGCTGTGTAAACGCGAACGAATAGATAACTTTAGTCATACGTACTTGCGGAAAGACTTCTTCAAAGCTAATGCTTCGAGTCGCTGGAACTCCCGAGTATGTGAGCGCGCTCTCCAGCAACACAAGCCATGGCTAGCAGAGAGCTGTACTTCCTCGTCTCGTTGGTCTTCATCCTTCGCTCTGCTCAAGCGGCACAGGAATTTCACCACCAAAATAGATGGTCCTTTGTATCCGCTTGATCCATACGGTTTGAGTGGCCGCTACGCTGGTTTACGGTCAAATTATAGCGACATAGGTATCAGCAAGGACATGAGTTACCAGGTGTGGATGCTGAGTTATAACGCTGAAACGCCAAAATCGTTTTTCCTGGCACTCATTGCCATCCAAAATCCAAGGGAGTTTTGGGATCTCACAAGACCGGTCATCCTGTGGAAGGCCAGACAGACGAGGCTTGTAGGTGAGAATGCCACTTTAGAATTTACCACAGATGGAGAGCTTAAAGTCGAAGAAGACGGTGATGTCGTATGGTCCACGAAAACTGCAAACAGAGGCGACCGGTGGCTCTGCATTTCCAATCGCGCAACCATAATGCTCCTGGACGAAAGCGGAAGCAATGTCATCTGGCAAAGCAGCGACGAACCTTCTGATACTGTGCTGTTGCAACGAGCACTTACGCCGGGACAAAAGCTCGTAAGTTTCAATACTTCAGAAGACAGCAGCGATGACAGTCTCGTCATGGAGAAAAGCAGGCTGCAACTGTTGTACGCCTCGCAACCGTATTGGAGTTTCGGTAATATTGGCAGCGAGGAAAACATGTTTGCGGTGTTTTGCTGGCAAAACGATGGTAACGTGTCTCTGGATCTGCGAGCCAACTTCTCACAGATTGAAACGAAGCGTGATGACTTGGGCTTAGTGTTTTCCTGGTCATGTTCCAGTCGAGGTTTAAAAGACCAAGTGATGGAGTTGCCAATAGATGGGTCACAGCTCACGCCCTCCACTTTCATAAAGCTGAAACCGGACGGGGATGTCGTCTTGTACTCCTGGAATTGGACGGGTACAAACTGGATAGATTTCTTCAGGTTTTCGACTCTCTTCAAGTGCTTTCTTCCAAGTGGATGTGGAAGATACAGAACCTGCAATTCAGCATCAGGCGCATGCGAGGAAACTTGTCCAGATACCTTTGCAAGAAGAGGTGAAGACTGCCAGCCACCATATCCCCTAGAGACATGCGAAGACCAGCTCGAGTATCGATTCGTTCGAAGAGAGGGAGCTGATTACTTCTCCACAAATTATTCCACTCCAGTTCCTGAAGCATCAGTGGAGGCGTGTCAGGGGCGAACTTTCCATGTGAGTCGAACTGCACCTGCACGGCGGCCTTTTATAATGACGGGATCTGCTTTCTCACGCACGGCGACGTGCAGTCACTCCGATCTGGGAAGTACGTTGCTCTGCTGAAAGTTGCCCGCCCTCGAAAGGTTTCCAAGACGCAACTCCAGGCCATCACATTGGGAGTACTTGTTCCAACACTGTTCCTGCTGATAGTCCGTCTCGGATGGCACTGCCGGAGGAGAAATACGCATGATGACGACGAGGGAGAAGAAGAAAGCACCTTGCAGCTATCCCTCATGGCGGGTATGCCCAGGCGCTTCAGTTTCCAGGAGCTTGAAGAAGTCACAGGGAAGTTCAGCAACTGCCTCGGGAATGGGGGATTCGGAAACGTTTTCAAAGGATTACTTGCCGATGGCACTGAAGTTGCTGTGAAGAAGCTCGAAGGCTCGAACCACAGAAGTAAGGACTTTTTTGCGGAAGTTGGAATTCTAGCCAGGACGCACCACTGGAACCTCGTCAAGCTGCTGGGATTCTGTGCGCAAGGGCCCAGGAAAAGGCTCCTTGTGTACCAGTATATGAAGAATGGCTCCCTAGAGCGGTGGATATTTGAAGACGACAGAATTCCTGGGAATATTTCGTGGAAACTTAGATTCAACATCCCAATAGGCACAGCGAGAGGATTGAACTACTTACGTGTTGAAAGGATAATCCACCTGGATCTGAAGCCGGAGAACGTACTCCTCGACGATGGTTTCCAGCCGAAGATAGCAGACTTCGGATTGTCCAAGCTCATGAACAGGAAGGAAAGCCAGTTGCAGCTGACGATTACGAGAGGCACCCCTGGCTACGTTGCACCGGAGTGTATTCAGGAAGGAACGGTGACTGAAAAAACAGATGTTTTCGGCTTCGGGGTTCTGCTGCTCGAGATCATAACAGGCTGCAAGAACAGGAACCTCTCAGGCGATTACCTGAAGGACTACTTGTTGGTTAGTAACAGAAACGGTAGTGCCGCTGCTCACCTCTCTGAAGAAGAGAACGAAAAGGAAAGATTGAAGAATGTTGCGGCGTTGTGTGTTCGAGACGATCCAAACTTACGGCCCTCGATGAGCAAGGTTATACAGATGATGGAAGGAGTTACCGAGCTGCTTCAAGTACCTTTGGAATCGGAGCTGAATTTCTTTTTCGCTTACAGACCCAAAGATCAGCTTAGCAGAACCGCAGCCTCGAACGTGAATTATAGGAGTTCTGATAAGTTGCTGAACTCATCTTCCTCGTTTACTGCCTTCTCACAATCTAGCCTGAATGCCCGATGAAATTATACGTTACAACATTGAACGAAAAATATACCTTCGTTGATTCGCTACTGCTGAAACTGTTGCGCTAAGCCAAAAACAATGTAGCTGCAATATCATTGAATCATCAACCTCCAAAGAAGAACAGTTATATCTTCTCCTATTTGAGTTCCAGATACTCATAAAGGAAATTCGTCGTCGAAGTCTGTAGAAAAATCGTCAATCAGTACGTGATTCAAAACTAGAAATTATAAGAAACCGTTTCGAGCTTCGGCTTTCAGCAATAGCAGGCTACAAAAAGAAAAACCTCGCGAAATATCCTGAAAAGCTCCATCAGGAACACAAGAAAAGAGAAAGATTGCCAATCGTCATTGCAATGTGGGGTAAAAAGGCAATATTGAGCTTAAAATCGCAGGTGATCTTGAGAGAAAAGGATGGAGCTCCCTCATAAGAGTTTCGAAAAGATGCTGAAACTATCAATATCGTTCAAGGATTTGCCACAACACGAGTCCATCTAGAGCACAAAAAAAGGAATAGCAATATTCTTAGCTTGAAGACCAAAATTTACCAAACGATGGACAGCGTCTCCCTGGAGCTAACACAGTTGGAGCACAACGTAAGCGCATCACAGCACACTCTTCCTCTATCAACGAACAGCGACCAAAGTGTGAGCGTCCATCTAAAGCCAAAGGAATTCTTTGTCTAGGCGAAATATATCTCAGATTTCACGGATCTTCTGTGACGAGCTCCAGCGCCAAGAAAAAGAAATCGCGCCATGGCATTGCATTCTACAAATTGCGAGGTTACTCAGCCGCAAGAATCGAAACTGGAGAAAGCAAACTCAATGAATGAAACATCACCTCAAAGATCCACCAAAATGCTCGATCAATGCAACATTGCGCCGACCTCCACGGAAATGCGATGTTAAAGCTCTCGATCGGCAGAAATCCATGAGCCATTCATAAACCCTAGAACACAAACCCACTTTAAGAGGCCTTAACAGGTCCCGCGTTCGACTCTAGCAAGGTTTTATTATTTAGCCACGTATGATCCAAAAGATTCTAGCTAGCCGATTTCACAGCGTCTCGCAGCCTCGCGTAGTCCTCGAGCTTGTTGTAAATCTGGTGAGAAACTCTCGCGTACGCCGTCCCGGATCTCTTGCTCTTCGAATTCGCGCTGGGCGATCCCCCTGCCTGAAAGCAAATCGGGACCTCCACTCCAAACTCCCTCCTCATCTCCAGAACCTCACCACCACCGCGATGTAAGGCCACACCTTCCCGTTCACCAGAATGCTATCACCAAAGTAGTCCGGACACCACTGCGGATGAACTGCCGGATTGCTCCCAACATTGGGATAGTTTATGGAGCCATCACTGAAGAACTGCTTGTCTTGGATCACCAGAAGCACGTAGTCTCTCGGGACCCAGGATGGATCTTCCCATGGCGACTCTATCACGTAAAGTCCGACTAAGCCAGCAGCCATGTTGAGCCGGGTCATGCCGTAAGTGTGGTCGTGATACCACAGGAGCGAGTGGCGCTGAAAGCTGGGATAGACGTAGTTTTGCGTCACGTAACCCGGGTCCCGCTCGCCAACTGATGTAAACCAGGCTTCTGGATGCCCGTCCGACCAGCTCTCTTGTCCATGGAGATGAGTGACCACCAGAATGTAGCCGTAGCGCAGACCCGCCCCTAGAATCGTATAGTTGACTGGAAGAAAAAGTACACAATCTTTCCCATGGGACAAAGGATGTTTGTCTCTTTTGGGCTCTCAAAGTTGGACCTGATATGAAGCTGTATACTCGCTCATGCCGAATGCATTCAGTGTTGTTGGTGGCAAGTCTCTGTGCAGTTTCTGCGTCAACAAAAAAAAACGAGTCTTGGAAGAGTCTGGAAATCAAGTGGAGAAAGAACGCATACCTGGGTGATTTTGTAAGCTCCAATGGTAACTCTGTAGCGTGGGCTCAAGTATATCTTCAGTGGGGTTGGAAGAACGTGGATGAACTTTTCCAGCTCCGGGGACGGTGGCAGTTGCAGACAGACCTCATCTGCTTCTACTGTGATGCAAATGTCAAGGATGAACAGCGTTATGAACTTCCAAGACATTGGGAATTCTATGGCACGGGTGCTGCGTGAAAAAAGACTGTACAGTGTGATATTGCATTTGCCAGGTGGCAACATTTGATTGGCCTGCCATAATTATGTTGCTATTATGTACATTGGATGAATGCTTTTAATGGTCATCCATACATGCCTACATAGTACATATCTGCTCATCCTTTGATTAGGGTCATTTTTAAGGCGAGGACTAGCAGGACATCTTGAGGGTGGGTTCTTTCAAGGTTGGGGGACAAGAGATTGATTCCTTGGAGGTGGGGAGTAAAGTCTGAGCGTGCGGGGTGTTTGGCAGACGCTATGACTGGAAAGGTGTGTTTTCTTTGAGGCTTTGTTGTTGTGAGCACATGAGTCCATGAATGAGAATGGATCCTAGTTTTGGTGGAGATGAGGGGTAGCCACATTGCTGAATGCTCCCATGAGCAGTGTGTGGCTATCCTTCATTCTCAGACCATGCAGGAAGCTTGATGATGCTAAATTGAGCAACACAAGTTGTTGGTAATTTGAGCAAAGTAGAGTCAATGAGAGGCTTCTATGGCATTAGAGACTTTCAATGAGGATGCCAAGGGCATTGTTGGAAAGTGATGCCAATAGAAACACCCCATGTGCAAGTCTCACCATGGCTAGTGGTGTGGCAGGTTTTTTGAGTGGAAACTATGGAGGCAAATATGGCTCACGAGGGTTTTCTGATGGAAGAAATGAGAAATGTGAGTGAGGAGCTGCCTAGAATGCAAGCTGGGAATTCTCCTATACTTGATATTTTAGAGGAGCAACTTGCAATAGTGGTTTCTACTATTCTCAAGAGTCTTGAGATGATGCGTCATCTCATTGGCACTAGAAGCTCAAGTCTTGGCCAATGAGCTCTTTTCATAGGGAAGGCTCCACACCCAGCCAGGCTGAAATATCCCACATTCCAACTTGGAGATGATTTTGATAGTTACCTGGATGTATTTGATTGCACGGCTTATAACAATCAGGTAATAGGCCATGAATAAATAAATGCTTTCTGTATGGCTCTCTCAAGAGAGGTATAGAGAATGTTTATCACACATTATGCTCGAGATCAAATGGTGTCTTGGGATAAGGCCATAGCTTTGGCCAGGAGGCTCTTCATCATTATAACTTTTGAACTTATCAACACAAGAAATTATCAAAAGGGCAAAACTATGCAGCAATATTGGGTTGTGCTATAACTGGCTGCCACATATATCTTTGATGACATTGACAAGGCAAAGAGGATGGCAAAGCAAGCTTTTTATCGAGGCTTTCTTGAGGATCTGCAGCCTTATTTGATCACAGCAAAAACGAGATTTGTGGACAAGTTGCTTTCTGTGGCAGCAAAAGCATTAAAAAAGTGGAAACCCAAAGCAGTTACAGCATGTGCTACTCGGCCAGAGGTACAAGAAAGTGATGACTCAGGAGAGCAAGAGGATTGCCACTATAATGCCAAAAGAGGTGAAACTAGTCTCAGAAGAACAGATACACCAATGGTCCTAGTGTCAAGTGGTTGGCACCCGCTAATGGTGAAAGGGATAAGTGACCTAGCAAAAGGATTGATTGTTACACTTGTGGGAAAGAAGGCCACATCCAGTGTGACTGTACCTACATTGCCGATACAATGACCTAAACCAGCAAGTTAAGGAGAATTTAAACTAGAGCTTGCACCTAGGCAGGGATCAGGCGCAGATAATGGATACCCTGACTTAAGAGTAGTAGAAGCCATTGCCCTTCTTTCTACAGTCACAGGATTTCGTTGTGGTCATGATATGGTTCAATTCGCTGAGCTCAGATTTCTCTGAGAGAGTGGTGGCCATGGTGGACACAAGCTGTGAAGTGACGACAGTACCAGAAAAGTGGGTAACCGAGGCCTCCAAGGTGGTACCCCCCTGTCATCATATATGTATACAACGATGAGTTATATACACCTCGAGGTTTAGTCGACCTTGATCTGAAGGTTGGGGACACAGCAATGAGGAGATGCAACATTGTTGGGACTTAATTGGATGAATGATGTAGGTGCGAAGATTGAAATAAGGGAGAGGCAACTCACTTTCTCCGATGGTCACAGACCTATGAAGTTGGGGGGTCTGCTTAAACCTAAATCTTCACGCAAAGCCTTTCATTGCACTTCCGAGTTTAAAACATTTGCTCCAATCAAGCAAGGGATGTATCTGTGGAAGGAGCCATGCAAAGAGGCAGTTACGAACGAAGTATTTTTGGTTGATCGAAAGGTGGTGCTACTAAAAGCGGAAGTAGACATTATGATTCCTCCTATGTCACAGGCATTTGTCCCAACACAATTCTTTATTTGTTGCTGCAAGGGAACATTCATACGCTTGTGGTCCTCATATCAGGCACTCCAGAGAGGCATGTCAGTAGCTAATGGAATAATTAGTTCTGTATATAAGGACAAGCCTAGCATCCTTATGGCAAACTTGAAGACCTCCACAGTGAACGTCAAGTCGGGTGATCCTATAGCTGAGGCAGCATGCAAGGATATCTCGGACATTGTGTGCTATACAGCTGCTTATGGTCTGGATGCTCTTGGATTGCCAGACCCATACAAAAATTATGTTGGGGGAGCGAGCTGTATGTCATCGGAAAAGCTGCCACTAGGCTCTAAAATTCCTTGGGAGGATAAAAGGAGAACTAAAAGTTGGAGATATGCTCTCAGGTACGGATCTCATTTCTGAATTTGATGAGTTGCTGTGGCAGTACTGGGAGATTTTTAGTACTGGAACTCTTGACCTGGGCAAAACTAATATGCTTCGTCGTGAGATCCATACTTCCTCAAGCAGGCCTATCAAGCAGCATGCATACCGTGAAACTCCCAAACAGAGGAGATTAAGAAAATGTTAGATGCTGACGTAATTGAGCCTTCATCATCACCCTGGGCATCGCCGGTGGTT